GAATGGCGCGCCCGACTCTTTGTACGCTTAACCAATAACGTTTCGTGCTGTTCATTGTTGTGTGCTCACTTTAAGTCAGCTTCTGGGGAGTAGGTCTTGATTTCCAGCTACTGTCAGTTCGACAACCCAGCAAACCGGGGTTAATTGCCAACTCCTTTTTTTGGGAGGGATTTAAAGCATGACAGGCTCCGGCACAGGCAGCCTAGTAGGGATTGTACTGGTATCTCCTGACTCATGTGGATAGATGCGGATAACTGTATAAGCAGGAACAGTTTCCAGGCTGCTTTACATCAGGTTACACTAGTTCCACCCCAGAAATCTACAATTTACAGAGTTGGCTTCAAGCTTTCAACCCCAAACTCTCCAGTGGACAGCTGGGCAGCAGCTGGCCCCACTGAGCAGCCTTCAGCAGGGTCAGTGGCAGCCCTGGGTAAGTCACACAATGGATCTTCTTGCTCAGGACCACAGAGGGACACATAGGTCACGCCGTGGCCCTGCAATCTGTTTGGGATTTGAAAGCCAAACTGGGTTCCTGTATCCTGAGTTTATAATAGAGACTGAATCACCACAATTTGGAGGATGATGCATGAGCTAGACTACACAGAGAGTGACAGAGCACTTAACATAGTAGGCTGGAATTTACCTTTGAGTGTCTGTACTTCATCCCATCAAAATCAAGGGCAACTTCCAAAGAATAAGCTTGGTAGTAACCTTTTAAACTGGAGATGTTATAGTTTCTGACTCCAGACTCCATTAAGAAAATATTTAGATGGCTTATTTAATGTCTAATGTCACAACAAATTCAACATCTTTTCACTCTGAGGTTTAAAAAGATTGTTTGAAAGCATCCTCCAGTGCCTGAAATGTAGTAACTGAATGCAAAGATCCATTCTAGTTTTACCTGGCGTATTTCCCAGTTCACATTCCACTGCTTCATGTTGGAGAACCTCCATGTTGTGATAGGATCTCCTGTGGCTATATCTATTCGTATCAGCCTGTTATAGGACACCCCAAGCACATCATCCTTCTTGCTTCCTTTAAACCTGAAAAAAAACCCCCACAACCTTTGAGCAGATCTGGTTTGCAATTGTTTCTGTCTAGAGAAACATTTCACCTGCCCTTCTCTGAAAGTGCAAAACGTGGGAAAAGTCCCAACAGCCTGGGATTGAGGAAAGCTTTTCAGCATTTGTTATAAAGCAAAAATGTAGGCTAGTGAACCATGGAATAATGTAAAATGATCAGGCAGGTAGATCTGGCTGAAATCTTTCCAAGTCATTGTTTTCTGCTAAAAAATACTGTTCTGCCAAAACGCATGAATCTATTTTTACTGGAAAAATGTCAAAAATAATTTTCCTTGCTTCATTTCACTGATGTTTAAACATGTTCTTCTAGTTAATATTCACGTAAATGATATAAGCATATCAAAACAGATTTAATGCTTTATATTATATATCACCATTAATTTATCAAAACAACTGCTAGCAATATATGCATGTTTCTGAGTATAAATCACATTACAAAAGTATTACCATTTTAACATCCAACTTGTGATTAGAGAAGAAAAATAAATACAAAAGCATAAGAACTTTTGAGTGACAGAAATTTCTGCATTGGAAATAGCTAGGAAAAGATTACTTTGGTAAAGAAACTAATGCTAAAAGCTGGAAGAAATCTCATCTGTCTGCTTTTACTATTTTCAGATTTTGATCCTGTTTTTGAACCTTCTCTCCTTAAATGAAGTTGGCCATTAGGGGAACAATGTGACCTGGACCACAATGTGTGCCTCACTTAACGCCCATCAGTTTGCAGAAATTCACCACAAGTTGTTTTGCTCACACTACAAAATGCAGTTTAGGTGTTGGCTTTGCTTATTTGTTTAACAGGACTAGTGCTGACAGATGGGGCAAAACATCTGTGTCTATGTTAGTAAATTAAATTGTAACAGGGAACATTCCCAGGGACTGAAATGTTCTGTTCAATTCCTAGAAGAGTCCCAGGCAGAATTCCGGCTGGAACCAAGCAGTGCTTTCTCAAGTGACTCCCAGGTAGGGCTCAGGAACTGGAACTCCAAGGAGCAACATAATCTGGTAGTTCACATGCTGCCACTAGATTTTGGGAGGTCAGAGAGTTTAACAGTACAGATGTTCTGTGTTCTATGCCAGCGGGACTCTGTGCCAAAGACTGGTTCCCAGATGGTTCAATTTATACCACAGGTGATTCCTAAGTAGCCCTGGAAGAGGTGTTAAGCACAGATTAAGGAAGGTGAATCCAAGTCTAGTTGTCTGGTTGTGTCAGTACTTTTAAGTCTTTTGGTGCTTTGTCAAGGTAAGAGAATGCAGGTCAGAACCCTGCCCATATTCAAGGTAACTGTCCAGGGAAACTACTGTGAACACAACAGGACCTTTCTTGTGCTGGCTGTTCTTCCAGATTCACCTAAAAAAAAGGGACTGGATTTGCTGCTTTCTTAATTAAATGCCAAAGAAATTATGCTCAGGAAAAAGCATTTTTAAAATAAAATCAGATACAAAATAAAAAAAAATCTTACCAATTCAATAAGCAACAGATGGAGCAGACAAATATATTGCAAACCTGAGAACACCAACAAGACATGCATTTTTTTTATGTTTAATGAGTTTATGTCAATAAGGGTTTAATCCTAGTGGTATGTTACTTCAGGCAAAAACTAACACATCTGTATGAAAGCAGATATAATGGAGAGTCTCACTCCAGGAACAAAGCTACTGAGAGCTACTGCTAGGAAAAAAACCCACAACAAACAGCAGTATGGAAGTTACTACAATTAAAAAAAGACTGTGGGGAAAAAAAACAGAGACTGATTCCAGAACATGGATTCGAGGAACTTCCTGCAAATCACTGACCATGAACATGTTATGGCAGCTTGACATGACTGTAACAGTGTGATTACCTTACAATGTAGTAGGATAAGCCAAACTCGGGGAGGGACTGCCATGCTTGAATAAAACGCAGCTTGGCCTCCACTAAGGTCATCTGGGACACGTTCTGGTGGGCTTCCAAAATACGACCAGCCAACTGGGAAACACAGGAAGAGAGAAAGGGTTCAGTTGACCAGAGAACAAAAATACCCTTGCTTTCACTAAATCAAACAGCATTAACATGGAACACTCCATGTTCAGACACTTGGCCGTCACCATGGATGTACTGCAGGGAGCACTTGGGGACAGATCCTGAGGTACAAGGGCAGAACAGAGTAGCAAGGTCTCAGTGCCTGGGTTTGTTTTGCACTGGGTCTAGCTCCAGCACTCTGCTCTGGAGACCATGTACTGTGGATGGATAGGCTGAACTCTTTTGCAGCAAAAACAGTGGACAAGGAATAAGGTAGAGAGGAAGGAGAGGTACCCAGACAAAGAGGGAAGGAAGACACTTGTTTAAGATGTACACAGTATTTTCCTCTCCTTAAAAACCTCCCTTTCTTACTCTGAAGAGAAAAACAAGAGAACATGATGAGTGACTTAGGAGGCTGTGCAGAGTACTTAGGAGGAGTACTTGAAAGAAGTGCTGAGAGACCTGTCCCGTTGTTAATTTTAAAGAAAAGGCCTCTAGCTAAGTATCACAGGGACAAATGTGTATTGAAAGATGATTCTACTGTATGGTTTCCAAAGGCTGTTTTGATCCAGCCTCACTCCAAGCAGTCATTAGAACTCCCATCCCCAACCTTCAGGCCATGCCCAGGATACCTGCTTGGACTTGTATTTTTTGATATAACGTGGCGAGACGAAGCATTCTGGTTTCATATCTATGTTTTCTGGATCAGAGACAGCCTGGGCAGACATGGTCCAGTTCTTCATCTTTAGAAATGAAAGGATCTTGTGGACCTCGGGATGATAAGAGCTATCAGCCATCGTTTTGCCTTTTGAGGCTAAAACACAAGCAGCCATCCACTGAGCATATTGAGTCTCCTGCAACAAAGATTAACTGTTTGATATTTGTTGACAAACCATTTGATGGTCACTGCTCACACATCTTTCACTCTTTGATGAAGCCACTCTGGAATTATTCCGCTTAATTTGCATGGATATGTAGTTACCATAGTACTGATTGGGCTAGTTCCACCTACAGAATAGTTAGGTTTTAAATCTTCAAAGAAACCCAGTACTTTGTAATCGACTCTCTTGGAAATTTTATTGCATGACTATTTTCTACCTAATGAGCATTTTTACACAATTTGGATGGATACATTTCAGTAGAAATTAAATAAACTGAAATCAAATGTAAGATCCTCATCACACTACCCTCATCAGAATGGGGAGGGTTCTAATTAAGAGAACAGAAGCCAAACCCCATCCTTCTGAAAAAACAGAAGTAAATATTGTCATTTTTACTTTTTGATAGTATGCTATTTTTTTCTTTAGGGCAACTTTAGTTGGAAACTGGTGATAAACATAGAATTATTTTCCTTTTGTCCCCTCAATCATAAAATATTCATTAGACCATCACATAATTCCTAGATTTTACTAAATATGTAGATGATAAACTCTCTGCAGCATCCTAATTTTTCTATACCAATTCTAAAACAAGACAATGGGTCTTCTAGACAACCTGCCAATAAATCTGGAATACACTTTCCTGTGTCTCAGGACTGTACTCACATTTTCGCATCTTAAATACACTTCATTCATGCCATCAGCAACAGGAATTAGTAACTTGATTCCAAACTTCTTTGCTGCAACATTTACATCTGGTACAACTTCACATCCTAGTTCACAGAGAATTAGAAAAAAAGGAATTTATTTAATTACTACATCACTAACTTTAAGTACTCATTAATACTAAAGAACAGTACTTAATAGAGGCTTTGAGGTGAAGGGCCAAGGCTTTTGAAGCTTAGGCCTGTTCTAGCTTTCTGTTCTAGTTCACTGCCTGGTCTGGCTTGCCAGGGTGATGAATGCTCTGAGCTCAAACTGCATGTTAGTCAATGTGGAAGAGAAAAGGATGTGAGTGCTCTCAAAGCCTCAGCCTCATCTCAGGAAACATTCAGCACTTAAAATGGAGAGGAGCTGATGTGATAGGCACTTTTGGAAATTTTATCCTAAGTGACTTGCCTGGACTATATTTTCAGAAGCAACTTAGTAGTAGTGACAATGGGATGTGGGTGACATCTGCAACAGAGTTGTTGTAGAACTCTGGGCACCATGTCGATGGTGCTTCTACAGGCCTTCTGGATTCAGCTGGAGTTGAGGTTGCCTACAGTTCCACTTTGTATCAAGGGACACCAAGTCTGTGGGCTACCCTGGCTTGTTTTGTACCATGCATTTATCTAACCTACTGAGGATATGCAGATTGGTATGCAGAGCCATTTGTTCACAGGGTCAATCTTCGTTCTATAAAAAAGGCTTCTTCTAGGATGAATCCTGGGCATCACTGGTTCCCTGATGCTGAATAAATGATGTCCCTGCAGGAGCAGATAGATGGAGGCTGTATGTAGTGCTGGTGTTTGCTGTGTGTACACCTGGGGTTCCTCCTCCAGAAGTACCTAAAGCTGGCTGTAGCTATGGAAATCCCCATGTATGAAACAAACATGGTCCAGAGAAGGTCTTGGAGCTGGCCCTGTGCAGCAGTATGGAGGTGCAACCTATGGCATTCTTGTCCCCTGCATCATCCGTAATCCTCTACTACCTGTGTAGTACCTGCAGTTGCCAAGGACAGAGGTGAGCACTACCAGTTAACAGAGAGTAAGTAAAAATATTCAGAAATAAAAGTCACACAGATCACATTCTCTATCTGACTCATCTTTAAGTGAATTCAGAAATCCAGGGCATTTTGTAAACTCAGTCCAGATAATCTTGGTTTGCACTAAGCTATTGAATCCTTTTTGTTTAGACCTCCTCCTCAGATACAGTCTGCCTGCTTCAGAGTGTCCATCACTGAAAAAGTTCCAACACTAAATGCTACTATGCTTGCCTTCCTGCCTCTTGCAGGGATTCCCTGATTTATTCACTTCATGAATGTGATGGAAGAAGGAAAGAAAGGAAAAGAAAATTCCTACCTTTTAGGTTTATTTTCTCAATAGGTTCTCCCTGTGCAGATTCCTTGTTTTTAAAATAAGATACTGAAGTGTCTTTAAAGACAAACCAATATGGCTTGATAGCTTTGAGTGACAGCTTCCTGGGCCTAAAGAAAAGGGAAGTTATGTTTATATTGAAATGTACAAATTGCTAAGTTACTAAAAAATATTACTGTGGATCTCAGATTGCTCTGAGGTCATACACATGGCTTCAGCTGAGCTACTCATACTTGTGTCAGTGATGGAGGGCAAACATCTGGAACCAACACTGCACCCAAGCTATCCCAGGTATGGATGGTTTTTTACCCCAGATTCTAGTTAAATCTTATCATCTTCTTTGTGGTTTGGTTTGTTTTGTCTTCTTTCTCTTGTTTTCATTTTTTTCCCCCTTCCATTCCTAATCAAAGCCATTTCCTTCTAACAAAGACTAATTCTGTTTTTTACATGGACTCAGTAACAGTAATGTGACCCACAAGTTTGCTCACATGCACTAGAATTAGCTTCGGTTTTTCATTACCTCTTTGTCTAGAAGATTTGTACCCATAAAACAAAATTGTAAGGAAGCAGAGACCCATCTTCCTGGCTTTATCTGTAGAGTATCAAACACAACAAAATTCTATTCCTTCACTAAGTTTACAGAGGTTCTGTAACACTCCCCCAAAAGGTAATAGTTTAAGTAATTTTCTTCCACTAGGGCAGTGTTATTCCAGCTCCTCACATATGCAGATAGATGGATCTAATAATAAATTTAATTATTTTACTTTATTTCAATACTTTGCTAATGCAAACTGATTTCTTTCCTAGAGTAAATTTAAAAGTATCTACCTTGGAATTGAGAAATACTAATGGTCAAACATGATCACTGTGCCAACCCCACCTCAGTGAGATTAAAAATTATATTTGTACTAAGAATACACCAACAAAGCCACAGAGGAGTGTGTGTGTGGGAATAAAATCCCAGTTTCAATATATTTCAGGAGAGAAAACCAGGGGTATTAGCACTGTTTTAGTAGAGAAATACTCCACAACTAGGTACAAAGGTCAACAATGAAGTTAAAAAGAAGGAAAAAAAAAATGCACACTCTGTTTTGTACTTCTCTTTAAATCTAAGATGATGGTACCAAGAATATACAGCAAGCTGAAAACCACTATTTATTATACTTGCTCTTGCCTTCTCCAGGGCCTTTCTTGAAATCATAGTTTAGAAACCTTTCCAGAAAATGGTGATTTTTATGTGTAAATTAAAAAAATAACCTGGGCTTTCAAAACTGGCATATATTTTGGCTTTTAATTTTCCAGTACAGCAACAAAAATCTGCAAAAATAAGGGACTATAAAGTTTTTCAACTATAAAGTTTTTTATTTTTTAATCTGCAAAAGTTGCTGTAAACTTTTTGAAAGCTTTTTTTTTTTTTTTAAATATTGTAATTCTCCACAATATTGTCACCCATGTGGAACTAATATTTACTAGTGTGCAGATGTGATGCATACTGTGAATAAAAGTTCACTATATGAGCAGGCCCAGCAGTGTGACATGCAGAGCTTTGCACTTAGGTTTATAATTAAGCAAATAATTATAGTAACAAAAGAAACATTTTACACCTTACTAATTTCTACAATGTCTTAGGTTTAGTAAGTGATTTATCATGTATACAGGACATTTTTCGTTATGAAAAATAATGACTGAATGTTTTTAAAAGCAAACTTCTCTACTGCTGGGGAAAAAGAAACAATCCATTGTTAGAGGTGAGTAACTGACAGAGCATAAAAGGCTTAAATTCCCTTTCATCTTAAGCCATCTTACTAATTTGAATGTAAAAAAAAATTCTAAACTGGAAATTAATAATTAACAGTTCTTAACAACAGTTAACAGTTTTCAAGTGCAATTTTAAGTTCATTGACTGCAGAACGAATCTGATAAGTATTTGTGCAACTGAAATCTTTTATCTTTCTAAAAGACTATTTTGTGATAAAAGGCATGACAGACTTGAGGTCACTGCAGTCATTTAAATAATGCATAAATCAAGATACGATAGTGAGATCACAGAACTGTACTTTCCTCAGTTTGCTTATTTAGGTGAGGTATTACTGATCTGGTTTACCATACTGCTACTCCAACTTGGAACTCATTTTGATATTAGAAACAGACTCCATGTATGGTTAGAAAGGGGTAATATGATTGTTTCTTTTGTTTAAAAAAGATAAATAATCCCCAGGGTTGCTTTCAGAAATTCTTCTCAGGGAGAGATGAAAGGTTTGTTGTTTGCTTGTTTTTTTATTTTATTAGCTTTTCATTGGCAGGACTCAGTAAAATGTAATTGAAAACAAGACCACAGACTTTCTTATTTAGAGATAATTGATGAGCACTAGGAGCCTGGTCTTTTATTATTAAGCATATGTATAGCTACCCCAGCACCCCAAGAGCTAGAAAGATTTGCTGAAAATCTTGCTCAGAAGCAGTAAGAGAAAGATTAGAAGAGGACGTTATTAGGATAGTTAGGCCTATCTGGTGTGTTTGTTGATTTATAACCGCAGGATCTACTGTTAGATTAGAACGAAAAACTCAAAAGATATCTCTTGTATGGTTAAGCTTTTGGTTTTCTATATTTTATTATTAGTTTTAATAACTCACCTAACTAGCCTGAGATTATCAGCAAGTTTCGGGATGTCTGTGATGTCCTCCTATCAGGAATAATTAGGAATAGTTTTAGTACAATGCACTTTGTAATCATCTGTTGACTCTGCTAAAAAATCAGGAACCAGGCTGGCTCATCACAGTCCATATGTTTGACACAGTGAAAGCAATTCAGGGATCCAAAAGGACATACCAAAATGTTACTTGTGTTTCCGCCTTCCAATGTCACTTCCAGATTAGAAAGTGCAGCTTCTACTTCATCTACTTCTGATTCACAGGTGAAATCTTGTGTCTCTGATGATAATGATAACTTGCTTATATGATACTAAACAAAACATCAAATATTAAGTCAAGATATTAATTAGCAACACACAATCAGAGCATATTAAAATAGGCTATTTGGTCTTCTGGGACAACAGCATAAAGTTCTGCAGCATGGAATCATGGGGGGTTTCACAAGGAAACAGGTATGTCCGCTATGATCTCCACTGCAATTACTGATAACAGTTTCCATTTTAAATGCCAGTGTCTTATTCCTTTACTGGATAATCATCATTTTTTGTGAGGCTGACTCAGTGCTAACATTTCCATCCCTAGTACTTTTAGCTCCAAGTGCCATCCGCACCAGGTGGAAACTTGGCAGCAAGGTTCTGTGGTGGTCTGCACAAGGTGGGCCGTGGGTTTTTTGGCAGCTCTGTTTACATTTAAAAGGAAAGAATATATTATTAATAAACATTTGTGTCTTATTACCTACAGTAAGGAATTAGGTCATGTTCAGTTTCTATGTAATCCATGGTGTCCCTACCTTCACATTGTGCTATAGCTTTTTTGGGGTCTGTTGTGAATTTATGTCTGTGTTAAAGAAATTTTCAGGCAGAATATGTATGTGGCAGGGGAGTAACTGGTATTGGAAGCAATGCTTCATAGTGATCCCCTGCAGAACAGACTGGTATCAAACCTACATCCTGGGTACAGTTTGCTTTTAAGAATGTTATCTTCCACAGTTGTGTCAGTTTAAATAATGCTGTGCTGCTACTGAATTTATTTGGCTTAGTTGATGGATGCTGCTTTTTGTTTCTCACTCTAATAGCAGACCCCCAGTCTAAGCAGAGCTACTGGCCTAGGCTCTAGCTAGTCTTGCCCTAGCTTGTGCCTGCCTCTCGAGGAAACAGGTTTTGCAACTTGGATCAAGTACGTGCCTGTAGTGCAGCGAAGATCAGCATTTCTTCCTCTGTGCAGTCAATTTCTTCTAACAGGATGGCCCAACGGGCTTGTTCGTATATTTGGTTTATTCGCACGGCATCATACTGTAGCAAAAAAGAACATTGGTCATCAATGACCATCAAGATACAGATTTAGATCAGCTGCAGCAGTTAGGCTGAAGCCATGAAGGTTGTTTCCTTCCTCCCCCACCTCTGCCCTGCTGTATGTTCCCATCCTTCTCTTGTACTAGCTTGTGTGATTGTGTGTAGGGTCACAGTGGCTTGCTGATCCAGCAGAAAATTAATCAGGAGTCCTTGGCTGAAGGAGAAGGGGAGATTAGGACATCCTTTTTTGTGGTAGAAAGCCTTGGACTGGCTTAACTGAAATGTGAAACCACATTATGAGAGTGAAAATAATGTGACACGGCTGATAGGAATGTGTCATTTAACAGCTTGCTACTGCCAAAAGACAGAAACTGTTATTCCCCACTTCCCCTCTCTGCTCTTGGCTTTTTCAGTTCTGGTTTTATCTTTGCACTGGCTTGACATTTGTCAGATCCTGCTGTGAACTGCTTCACTGTTTCTTGGATTCACTGTTTTTTGGATAGTGACTGTTTCTTATTATCTACTTGGTTAATAAGCTGAAGTGACTCACAGAAATATTCAAGCCCCAGAGCTGGTGAAATGTAGATGATGAGAGGGTAAACCTTGGAGTGTGACCTCTCCCAGTAGTAGTGAGCTTTTGAGTAGCCTGAGGCTGTTTTGGGTTATTTAATCCTACACCTCCATGGCTGGGTAGAGCAAAGAAGGGAGATGTTTGGGCTGCTGATGTTGAGACATGTATGTGAATTTTAGTGGGGATGGCATTTCACCCAAAAAATGTGCCATGTGAACTAGAAAGTGCCCTTCTGTTTATCTGAAATGAAAGAGTTTTACACAATTTACAGAAAATAAAAATGTGAAGCCCAAATCCTCTACAATTTGTATTTGAACTCTTGTTCATTTACCCTGGTCAATGATTGTGCTCCAATTTCACTAAATGTCTCACACAAACCCTAAAAACACTGGCTTAATACAACCATCATGACTGAATCTTAGTGGAAGTAAAGGCAAACATGAGGCAACTTGGGAAAAATATTTAAGCAATTTTTGAAGACTTAAGTGTTATTTTCAAACAGGACTTATTTGCTCAACTTTCCAAAGTTATTTAATCACCTGGTTACATTGAAATAAATTAGATTAAAGTGCCTGAATGCTCCTGAGTGCTTCAGCCCAGTAAAGCTGAATATTCAGTGAAGGGCAGTGGAACATAAATGTCATTTTAAAGTCCATCATTTAGGGTACTGTTGGTTTAGTTTTCCCCTTAATTTTTCTTGTTAAAAGAGAGAGAAAAAGTAAAACAGCCCCTCTGGAAATCTGGATATTGTTCTGGTGTTCTTCAGATCTCATCTTTACAGTCAAAATCTTATTTCAGGTAAGGAACAGTGATTCATTGTCCAGAGGGGAAAAGTGCAGGCTTAGCTTAAGGGCAGAAGTTTAATTTTATTTCTGAAGGGCCTGTAACAAATCCTAGCTAAATTTCAGTATGCTTGTGCTATAGCTCCTTGACATGAAAGCAGGCAAACAATGAATAGCAATAAAAACAAAGCTCTTACTTTTGGATTCAAATCAAAGAAAGTGTAATATTTAAAGCGTAAAAGAAGTTGATCATCCTCCAGAATGCCTTGTTCCATAAGTGATCGAGATGAATCTAGCCAGCTGTGGAAGAAAACAACCCACAGATTGATCTGTACAGGAAAAACTATCACACCTGCAGAGCTCCAATGTACTTGTGAAACAAAAGTGGGAACACGCAGCTCTAATTCCTGCAAGTCTCCAGAAAATGGAAGGTGGAATGTTCATATGGATACCTAAAATCTTCCTGTTTTTACTCCAAAACTGTTCAAAACAGCAGGAGTAGATGCCAGAAACGGAGCAGTAAGTAGTTGTGGGGCGGCTTATGCCAATAAGATCCTTTCCTCTTCATCTCCAGAAATGTGAGATTCATTTAAGCCTGGGCAAAAGTATACCTGTATATTTAGAACTCGTGCTTTTCATTTCACTATTTGGTGTTTTGTAATTCTAGCTACTTCTGTTCTCCAGTGAAATCCAATTAAAGCATCAAAGTCACTATTAAATGCTCCACAGATCTAAGAATGACAATCCATCTTTTAATGCTAGAGGGACAATTCTGTCAAACACTTGCACCACCAAACCCCCAGTGCTCTGTATTCTTCTGTGATGTACAATAACCAATATTTGCTTATGCATCATTCAGTAAGTCATCTATTTGCAACACTTCAGAGCTTCACTGAATTTATCTACATTTGTATTTCCTGGCCATTTAAAGCCTTTTGAGCTTTCTCTTCAAACTGTTCTTTAGCTGTGCCCACAGTGCTGAACTGAGTTTGCCTTCATCTAACAACAGAGTTTAGTCCAGAGCCTGCACTGTTACATCATTCATAACTTCAAAACAAAATTACCTAACCAAGAATATTGAATAAGGAACAAAAATATTATCAGGGGGTTGTTTTCAAATTCTGCTTTACTTGTACAAAGCTGGATTAATGCTACCCTTGCTAAGCCAGCTAATGAAGATCTCAAAGAGAGGTACCTTACCCCGCATTGAGTTTGGCTTTGTCAGCTAAAGTCCGAGGCTGGTACATCTCTGCTAGTGTTTCTGGAGAGTAGCTGGGATGACTGAAGGTGAGGATGCTGCAGTTCTGCTCAGTCAAGGGACTGTCGCTGGACCAAGTAATTGTAGAAGAAGCTGGTGTCCCACTGCTGGGATCATAAAGGGGTGTAACGACTTTACTAGATAAACCTGGGCTTCCTGCAAATTAAAAGAGCAAAGTATTATTCCAGGGAAAAGTGCCTTCTGACGTAGGTAGTCCACCCCTTTCTATCACAGAAGACTTTTCTCTAAAGACACTCTCCTATTTCTGCTGTTTACAGCAGGCCTTGTCCTTTCACAGGTGAAGTGACATCAGGGCCAGAAATTGTGTTGCTCATTGAGATATCTCAGTTGTGTTTGAGATAGGGAACACATGCTTTCAAGCCTTTATTTCTCCTTTTCTTTGCAGGTTGCCAAAATTATTGAATATTTTAAGAGTGGTCTCACATTTCCAAAGAGCAGCAGCACATCCTGTTTGCAGGGCCACAGGTGATCACGTTTTCTGGCATAGCTTTTCTCACATCAATGGAAAGGAAAACATTTTAAAAACAACTGAAGAATATTGGTGTAGTGGAGATTTTAGTAACTTCTTGAAGCCACTAATTTCAGGCCAACTGTGTCTGACCACCATCCTACATTAAACTGGTCTCCCTGGTTTTAACTGTGTAGCAAAGGATTTCTTCCTCTTTTTGACTTTCAGTCAGAAGAACAAAATCATGTTGGTTTTTCATTACCTGATAACCCAGAACTCACTGGAGAGTTGCACAGGTTTAAAATATCTTCTGTAACTGGTTCTTTGCTGTTCTTGTCTTTTTTCTTTTTCTTTTTGAGGACATCTTCTGACTGCTTCAATAAAGAAAGTTCTTCCGACCGTCTAATATCTACAACAGCAATTTGGGAAGTGAAGCAAGATGAAATATTTCAAAGTTAGCAGCTTACATTACAAAAAAAAACCCCATGGTTGGTAATAGCATTTGAGGAAGCTCCATGTTGCAATCTGAATTTTATTTTTAGCAGGTTGAAAGCAGTAGCTGTGGAAAATCCAGTAACTCAATAAAAAGCCAAAGACTTTGGGCTGTGAGAGCGAGTTTTGACAGGATTTAAGCCTACTTTTGTAGCAACAGTTACTGTGTTTTAGAACACCAGGTAAAAACACTTTCTCCCTAATGGCTCTACAATAATCTTTGAGCATAATAATCTCAATGAAAAGTCTGATTTATGGATAAGCAAGAACAGAAGTGGAACCACTGTATTTAAAGTTTGTGCCTTTTATGATTCACTGAATTTCACGTACAAGATTCTGTCTTGCCTATACACTATTCCCTAATGCACTGCTGAGCCAGACATCTACTGTCAGTTGCAAACCTGATACTTCGTTTCTGAAAAACACACTTATCCTGGCATAAGCAAAGATATTTTTTTGACAGTATTCAGTCATGAGAAGAGCTACAGGGCTCCTGGACTGACTCAATCTGGAATAAAAATGTAGGTAGAAATTTTTCATTCTGCCAAATGTGAGTTGAACAATTATGGCATTATTTTACCAGATCTGTTAAATGTAATAGAGATACACTATCACTTTCACAATCCAGTGCTAGAAGATGCAATTGAAAGCTACATTGTGGCCACTGAGGTGGTAAATGCCTTCCAAAGATGAATGTGTTATTGGCCTCAGCTTTGAAGATCTAAATTAAAGGATCCCTAAAACTAAGGAATCCTGAAGACTGTTTACGGACTTGACTGATCCCTGTGGATGACAGGCACGTAGGTCTGGCATGCTCCAGAACCTCATCCCTACTTGGTGGTGCTCCATTGTTGGAAAGAGCAGGTTGAATGTTGCAACACATTCACAAGCATGCCTGGGGTAGCTGTGTATGCCCTGGCTGCAAGAGGCTTGGGCACATAAAAGTTCTAAAGATTTAAAACATATAAATACATATTACCAATAGGCTGAATTGAATAATGTTAGTGAAAGTAGGTGATGAACCGGTGGACACCAGTAAAACTGGCTATGCTGAAAGCTGGTGATAAGCTCAGGCTCTTAGTTGATGGTACTCAGTGGTCTCAGTAAGTGAGACCAAGTCCTGCTCAAGGACAAGGAACCCCGCAAACCCATCAGTAGGCCTTTGACTGTCTGGTACTCCTGCAGCTCAGGGGACACAGTTCTGACACTGTTTGCATTGGTTATCACAAAGGCTGAGAACCACAGATGTGCACTGGATAATAAAAATAAAATGTCTTTTGATCTTGAGTCAAGTCAGTCAAATTTCTCCTTGAGCTAAACTGTTTTGTAAGGACTTCACATCACAACAAAGTCACCTAATAAAATGCTCCAACTTAGCTGCCAGAGGGTATGTAGTTTTACTTACTGAGAATTTTGCAGATGTCACTGACAGCTCTGAATACCACAGAAGAGAAGCTGACTTTCAGTCTCACAGTCTTCATGTTTGGCAAGCGAAGCCGCAGCATTTTGTGTTGAGTAGTAAAGATCAGCTTAGCATCTGCCTGCACCCCACATTTATCGAGTGTCCAGTGGGTTTTCAGAAGCCAACATTTTTTTTGCTCCCACCAAAAAGCATAGTCTGACCAATCTTGTGGTATTTCTAGGAAAATACAAAATGGTCATTAAAAAACTATGGAGCAAATACACTAACAACTCGGTTTGGAAACAGGAGAATATATTACATGAAAGTAGCAATTGCAGTTCCTAGACCCCATTTTCTGAATACTTGTGGCAGTTACTGGAAAGTTAACTTTGTTCTCCCTGAAGAGTTAACCTAGATGCTGATTATGGCACTGCCTTAATCTTGCACATATGCGGAGGGAAATTGTATCTCCTGAATCTGGTGCTATACATGGTCCAATGCTGCTTGGATTGTACTGGGATATGGACTAGTAACAAGGGTACTCACTTCACAACTTGATAGCACAAGCCAAAAATCCTTCCACAAAACCTTGTGCACCTAGATGGGTGCAGTTTCTTCCACAATCTTCTGGGAAGCATCAGTTGGTGACTGAAGACTTGTAGATTTAAGAATTCCAGGAAAAAGAAAAATGCCTGAAGAATGACTTGCTTAAGAAAACCCTGTGGTATTGATGTAATAATTAAATACCATACTAGCATGTATGTTCCTATCATTCTGTAGCCTCAGAGTACAGATTATTATTTTGGGACACAGCTCCATTTGATGACTTTGAGTTAAAGAAGCACTGACTTGCTATGACTGTACATAGGGTATTTTTTACCTTTCAACTCCCAACTTTGACTTGGCCAGTCTCTGCTCTTCACAGCTGTTCCCCACTAGATATTTGCAATGGATAGCATGGCTCAGAGTTTGGCTAGAATGCTACTACAACACAGGAAAGAGTAATTTCTGAAATGCCTTTGTAACAACTAATCCTGTCTCTTTGACTGCTACAGGTGGATAAATAGGGTATCAGCTACCAATATTACCCCTCAAATCAGCCACCTATAAAATCTACCTGAAAAGGGAGTTGAATAGTTAGCCTAAGTCAACTGTATTTGTCCTAACTGGAAGACAAAATCAAAGTAGAGTTTTGTTTGCACTGTGATAGTGCAGAGGCTTTAGTCAAAGGCAGGGAGGGGTTCTGGCCACATAAAAACCCTGCGTCTGCAGCACCCATGTGCTTGGCATATTATTGCAATGAAGTAAGCAAGGCAGTGCCATTTCAAAATGTGCAGGAGCCTTTTTTTGTAGAAGGAAAGCTGCATACATTATTTTAATAACACTGTGTAAATTAAACAGGTCTTTACTCACTGATTTGTTCTGCTAATTTCAGCATCACTCCTCCAATATGAAGGTCCCCTGTGACCTGTAGTAAAAATTCCTTTTTTATCTCTTCATGCTGATGATCAACTATTACCAAGAGCTCCCAGGAATGAGATCCATATTCACTTGAGGAAATCATTTTGGAAAGGTCTATGTAAGCTCTGCAAAAACAAAACAAACAAGCCAAAACCAAATAAACAAGCTTCTCTCTCTGAATCAAATGCAGAGTCGTAAAATACTTCCATGCTGCCAAGACTTCGCAGTGGCCTTGGCTTGAATTTCAGATGTTTTATCTTGTTACCTCTGAACTAGACTCTGCTCCTGTGACTGATTACTGTTGTAAGACAGGCATGTGGGATTTTTTGTTTTTTATTGTGATGTTGCCCCCTCTTTCCCTACTCAAGAGTCCCCAGCTGGGTAGAGTTTTACCCAGGTTTGCCCACTACACAATGCTAATCTGCCAGTCTGGACATCACAAAGCCTGCAGTCGTGGGTGGGATCTGTTTTGGCAACCTGTCCATTGAACAAAGGAATTTCTTTGACTTGTACACTTATAGCTGTAATTGTCACTGCAATTGAAAGTTTACACTTGCAGTTCTGCCAGCTTGGTCCCGTGGGACCAAAACCAACCAGAATTTTTAACTGCTCAGGTGGATGTGAGGGGAGACAAATAATTTCAATGGCTCTCTGCCAGCAATGTCCAGGCACTCAACTGCAGTTTCTGCTGGTTGTCTGCTTGCACAGAGATGCAGGCATGTAGCCTGTCCCAGTGGGATGAACCTTCTGAAATCCCACCAGATTCTGGCCAGGACAGATTAACAGTAATCACGCCAAGCCAAACTAGAGAAGATGCTTAAAGTAGAGGCTGTGGTTATACCAGTACAGTTCTGCTATTTACTGAAGAAAGAGCTTGTAGGTATAAAGTGATATTGCAGGAAGGATTTGGGATATTTAACCACTGAGAGAAGATATCAGATTAGCACTCAGTGTCCTGTCAAACTGAACCCTAAGAAACAAGCCTTTGCAGTTGAAGCTAAAGCAGCAGATGGCTTCCATTTATTGCAGACTTTCAGCAATACCTGAGAACCCAAGTCACAGGCAGATACTCTGTCTGTTAAAGGTGCCGTACAGACTGCTTTCAATGTAAAAAATCACCAGGAGTTGTTTACTAAGAAGGCTAGAGGAGATGTGATTACATTAACAGACTTTCAAAAAGAAGCATTTAGTAATTTAAAGCCTTTAGCCTAAGTGTGAGGTCAGGACCAGAAGAACAAAAACTGTTGTCACAGGTGAGGAGTGAGAGAAGGAATGACCTTTTGTAGGACTGACTGCAGGACAAGATCAGACTAGCTGAGGTTATACTAATGTAAAATTAAGCTAAAGGTTAAATATAGCATGCCTAGAAACAGGCTGAAAATTTCAGTTCACCTATTTACCCAGTTTGTAATAACAAACCCATTAGATAATAAAAGAGGTTTTTAGTGCCAAAAGATACTACTCCAGGGCAGAACCCAGGTCAATGTTCATTCCGAGGATCCCTTCCAGAGGCACAAGGTGGCTCCTGCATCTAACATTACAGCTTAATGTTCCCCAGACTTTCAAGTCTTACTCATGTTTCTTAACATCTTAGGGTTTAAGAATTTCAACAGGAATACTTGGTATTTTGTTAAATTGCGTATCATGCAGTATTTGTATTATGGAGTCCAACATAAATCAAAGTCATCTAACAATTTCAGTGAAATTCTTTTAAAATCAGAACACTTGTGTTGTAGACTTGGTTCCTTGAAACTCCTTTGGGCCTAGGCCACACCTGATGTCTACCCTACCAATATAAAATTCAATATCAAATGGATAATAGAAATGTGGTGGTAAAGACAAATTCTACTAACAAGGAAAAGTGATTCCAAAGGTAAAGGCAATGAAAGTGTATCTTTTAAAGATTGGATTGATCCCTGCCCTAAATGAATGACAATATAAACAAAACTCTATGTCCGGCTCAAAAACATCCTTTTAGGAGAAAATCACCTTACCGAGGAGTTTCAGTAGGACACTGCTGGGACTCTGCCCTGAGATTCTAAAATCACGGTGACTTATAGGCAGCCCCAACTCAGAAAACTGCAGCTGCATAATCATGTGACTCCAACAGGCTAATTTTCACTGAGAAACAAATGCTATTTTTAATGATGTTCTTGGATGTGCCAGCCTACGCCTTTTCACCAGGCCCTAAACCAACACGAGCTGATACTTTTCCCAGAGGTTTGTTTGTTTTGCCTTGGTAAATAAAGACATTGTGTAGGTCACTGGAAAACACTATGGCTTTCACACCTTTGGGACAGAGCTGGGATTTTTAATTTGCTGTGTACCACACGGATGTGCTAGTTCAGGTGTGCATTAAAGCACAGGGGAGGGGAAGGGCTGTGCCTCTTCTGAAGGCACCGTGTCCAAGAGAGAGCTCCTGAGATGCTCTCCCAGGCAGATGAGGCTTTCAGTACAAGGGCAAGTTGTAAAGGACAGTTATTGTTGCGTTATATTCCCAGCAAAACAAAAATACTGACTTTAGAATAAATTCAGAATGTCACTAGTCATGCTCCAAAGAGCCAATAACAGCTTTAAAAACAAATGAATCTACAACTGGCTTAAGCATGAGAACCACATGATTTCATTTCAGAAGGACAGGTATGAAACAACTATACTTTTGCCTACACTTAGTCCCCTGGAAGTCATTTTCACAGAAAACCAGTCTCATCTGCCTTTTTGCGCCGGCAAAAACATTTGGGAGCTGAGCCGGATTTAATTTTTTTTCCCTTTTAAAATTTGTCTGAACTCCCCAATCTACTTCTGCATTCAAACGCTTGAGCTGACATGGGTGACAATGAGCAGCAGGGTGGGTGAAACTCATTCTTTCATTGACGCTGGCTTGGAAAGCCACGGCCCCAGTGCTGCTCATCCCTGCTCCTCCATCGCTCCTTGACGCCGTTTCCTTCCCGCTTCCTCTTCACAACCAAGAGGGTTTAGTTCGATTACAAGAAAACACGAACACTTAGCAAGAGAAGGCAGCACAGACACAGCCAAGTCTCCACCAAGGGGCACGGCCAAGGGGCACGGCCAACCAACCACGGTGTGTTAGCGCCCAGAGCAGCCCCAGCTGCCGGGCCGTGCCCGCCTCACGCCTCAACCTCCGGCTCCGGGATCTGCCCTGGGAACGGGCCCCAGTTCCCGGGCTCCACGTGGGTTGCACGGCCTGGCACAGGGACATGGAACAGGCCAGAAACGTGGCTTCAGGCTGGCTGTAGTCAGTGCTTCTACAGAGCGTGTCAGCCAACCCGGCTGTATATAAAAAACAAGCAGCAATTACTGTGCAGACTGAGCCCTCTGCAAACTTCAGCCCCCGTCGCGCTGAAGCTCAACCCTTGTGGTTGGAAACCCGGGAGGATGTTGGTCGCGCTGAGGCGCAGAAAGATCAACTGAAGCGGGGGAGGGAGGGGAAACCAGAGTGTGATGTCTCCCACGAACACTTCCGAGGCCAGCGGGTGCCCGGGCAGCGCCTGGAAGGTGCCTGCTGGGAGGGACG